ATGAGAATACTTTAGACTTTTGTGGACTGACGGTACTTTAAAGTGCCAGTTTAATTAATGAGCTCTATCGGATTAAATTTCCCAAACTTGAATATTTTATTTCTTTATATCCCTTAATTTTCAATGTAGTGATTCAAAAAACGAATATTGCTTGAAAAAAATTGCAGCAAATCAGAATGCTGCAGAGAAATGATTAATATATATTCCTTATTTCAAAAACATAACGATATTACGAATTTGAGGTATCATTCAACAATGATTTCATGGCATCCTCATTTTTTTAACATATTTTTTCTTCAAAGAAAGGTTTTCCGTCATTGACAATATGAGTCACCCAAATTTAGATGATAAAATGCACTATCATTGACACTTCCTTTAATATGGCATATCAAGTTGGTATCACTTATGGATCTTTAAAGTTTGAGTCTTCTATAAATTGTTCTCATTTATTAATAAGAAAATAATAACTGTCACATTTTATTTTCTTTTATCAACAATGATGAATATATTCTTCAAGAATATTATATCGACTATAGTTTGACTTAACACATGTATTTAAAGATTTGTCTTATTTAATGCAAATTATATATTACTATTGGTTTTGTGTGTGAGTGTGTGTGTGTGATAACTAATATATTTACTTTTGACAATGAAACTATATGTTGTTTTTCCAAAATTCATTCAGATAGAAATATAAGAGTATAATAAGATGACATTTTCTTAGGTTTTATGCAAGCTTATTAATTCCATATCTTTTAAATTTATACAAAACTGTCAGTTAATTGGGAATAGCCACCAAAAATACTTATGTTTTCTTAGATTAATACCATAATTCATATTTATTTCTATTTTCATTTCATAGAATCTGATCAGTATGTAGTTAGAAATGTAACTCTGCATTTGACTTTGCACAGTTTGTTCTAATATTAGATGCTGTCATTGAATGGAATGAAGAAATAAAGGTATTTAATGCAATAAACTAAAGTAAGTAAACTTTTTTTGAATTGTTACTGTGGCACATTTTAGATGTTTAGCTGATTTAGACATAACCATTTTTATTCAAACGTTTTTTTTTAAAGCTGTTGTTCAGGGGATTATTTCTGAAGATCAAAAGGAATCAATTCATTTTATCTAAATTTAATTTTTAATGGTATATCGTACAGATTATGTATAATTTTATGCAAGCAATGTAATTTTCTTCATTGGTACCTAATAGGAGCTTAATACGGCCTAATTAAACTGATAAATTTAATGAAAAAATATCAGCTTTTCTTTTGTTAAAAAATAACTTGTTTCGATAATTCATTTATATATGACCTGATTTTAAATGCAACTTTAGAATCTATTTTTTTCTATCAGACCTCTTTTTTAAAACAATTAAAACTTTAAATGCTTAAAAATTTTATTATTCATTACTATTAGTGATAGTTACATTAGAATATAATCTTAATAGTTCTTTTTTATTTGGCATTTTATCACTGTTACTTTATTTCTTCATCTAACAGCAATAGGAAAAAATTTAGGGAGCCATTTTTCTCTGAAAACGCTTATTAAAACATATATCATGGTAGACATTTTCCCAGGTTTCGGCTTATTTAATTCTTAGAAGTATAGTGGCTTTGGCTAACATTCTTCGCGCATTATAGTGTCTCGCTGCATATTAAATGGAATTTTGAATTGTTTTGAGAAATACCATTTAAAGCAAGATCTTTAATTTTTATTCTTAATATTGAAGATTTTGTAGTTGCTCTTTTTTCGATTTTCGTTTCATAAAATTTGGCAATCTCTATCGTTGAAAAATGAGTTGTAGATGTATGTTCAAACTATATTTAATTTGAAGAAATAAAAAAATATAGATTTTCAAAAATTCTAAGAAACGCAAAGAAAATATTAATTTTTCATTCTTGACTATATCTTTTTGTTTCCTACAGCTGATTTTTATCATTGTTTTCAACAAACAAGCCTCATAAGAAGCAGGAGTATTTCATGTTACTATGATGAGGTAAAAAAGTAGAGCTATTATTCGTAGAAATCCACAATCTTCTCTTAATTGCTTGTTGTAATTTGTATTAGCAAACATTTACATGGTTCTTTCTTGTATTTAGTATAAGTGTGTGTTTCTGATAAATATCCTTACTTTAATGTGAAGATAATAAAACTGGCTTCAAGGATTGGTATAAATATGAACCAAACGACACAAAACAATGCATAAGAACTAGTTTATTCAATTAAAGTGGTGACGAATG